ATACCAGCACCGGCAGGAGCTCCACGAAGTTGTTGGGGAAGAGCCCTCTCTGGTGCCGGCACTGCCCGTCCCACCAGCCCTCGACCTCCGTCTGCTGTAGGCAGGGCAGGTGTCAGCACCAGGGACCAGCCTCGGGGCCGCCCCTGTCCCTGCACCCCCTCACCTTGCTGAGGACCCGGATGACATCTCCCCGCCGCAGCGGCAGCTCGTCTGGCAGCTCTGGGGCATAGTCGAACAGGGCCCGGCAGAGCTGCGGCTCCTGGTCTGCGTGGGAAGGGCAGGACGGGGCTCGCAGGGTCTGGCTCCTCCCCAGGTCCCCCCAGCACCCCAAGCGAGCCCCCCCCCAGGGCACGGCCCCGGCCCATGGCATGGGAACCGGGTGACTCACCCAGCTCTGGTGGCAGGACGGGTGCCCGGTGCTGCGCCACCAGCTGCGGCTCTGCCTGTGGGAGAGGAGACCCGCTGGGGCACGAGAGTCCTGGCTCCAAGCCAGGGACCAGCCCAGGCAGCACCCGCTGGCTTGCAGAGCCCCATGTCCCCTGAGCCCCAAACTGCCCCGGCATGGAGCTCCGCCCCCCCCCCCACCTTCTCCTCCGGCACTGGGAAGGGCTTGGACATCTGCTTCAGTGCGGTGTCAGCCTCGCTGTTGGGGCGGGCACCTGCGAGAGCGGGGAGAGGATTCCCTGCCGCGGTCAAACCCCGAACACCGGCGGGGAGCGCAGCTCCGGGGCCCGGCTGTGCCAGTCCGCAGCTCTGGGTGCCCATGGGGAGCTGTGCCTGCAGCCGCCGGCCCCACAGCATAGCCCGGTCCCACCATGGTATTGCTGCCCCAGAGCTTCATCGCAGGGACACACATGATGGCCCCGCTCGTGGCACAACCAGCGCAGGGAGCCCTGCACCGCCGGGACCAGGCCAGCTCCCTTACAGGCCGCCCTGCGCCTGCACCCAGCCCTGGCACACCCCAGCCCCAGCTCGCCCCCAGCCACCACCACATGGGACGAGCCCAAGGCAGGTGGTGGGCCTGGGGACCCAAGGCAGCAGGGTGGCTCAGTGACAAGGGCCCGGGCTGCGGGAGGCCGGGGCTGGGGCTGCTGCAGGGCAGCCGGAGCGGAGGAAGTCACAAAACTGCTGCATGGAAAGAGAGGGCTGGGGGAGAGGAAGGGACCGGGAGCTGGGGGCAAACCCACGGGGCTGCCCTCCTCCATCGGCACCTCACGGCTGTGCCGGAGGCTGCCAGCAGGCTTTGGTACAGCCAAATCCCCGCAAGCAGCCACACAGGAACCGCCTGGGCTGGGCTGTCTGGGACGACGGCAGGGTGAGCTCAGACATGGCGGGACCAGCACCCCCCCAGCCCCCCCTGGGCACCTGCCAGCTGAGGGGAGTTCATGCGGTAGCGGTAACGTGCAGGAGCCAGGCGGTCAGGGCTGCCGGTGCTGCCGCTGCCTGGCGCTGGCATCTGAGGAGACCCGAGGCTGCAGCTGCAGTGTTATGGGGAAAAAAGGGGCACCTGCTCGCCCTGCGTGTGCTTGGTCTCCTCTGGGGTGATCCCACCCGATGCACAGACACCACTGTGGCCTCTCTCCTGCCCAGATGCTGACTCACACCCTCTGAACGCTCACACCTTCACTACAGGTGATTCACCACCTCCCCTGGCATCGCTGCCTGGATCCAGAGGGAATTTGTCCCAACCCTCTCACTGCTGCTGCCCGGTGAGCTCGGCAGCTGCCAGCTGGGGAAGGCGCGTGTGCTTGTGGCAGCTCGGAAAAGCTGGGGGGTGGCTTGGGCTATTGCTGTTAAATGGTGGATTTAGCAGAAGCAGCCAACTCCAGCTACCACTGCAGAGCGTGGAGGGGATTCATGGCTCTGCGACCGCTCCTGCCAGCCAGGGAGGTGCCTCGCTGCAAGGCGAGGCGAGGGGAGAGGAGAGACCCCAAGCTCCCACGGGTACAGGAGCAGCCCCAAGCCCCCCTGCCCGAACGACAGCACCCAGAGGCAGCCCCACAGCATGGCCATGCCCAGCGGCAGCTCTGAGGTCTTGGCCCTGCCCGCACGGCGCGTCCCTACCTGAGCTGCACGTGCAGGCAGCAGCCCAAATCGACCGACACAGGCACGGCTGCAGGGCCGGCGCAGGCTGCCGATCCAGGGAGCGAAGCACTAAGGCAGGAGTCGCACCCAGCTGCGCATCTGTCACCTTTGGTGTAGAGAGGGAAGTGAAACCTAAACCACAGAGGGGTCAAAACCCACAAACCGCAAGCACACAGGGCTGGTGTGGCTGTGCCTCTGAAGTCTCTCCGCAGAGCGCGGCAGCCGGAGGGGTCATTAGTGACCCTGGGGCTCCCCGGCTGGTCCTGGCCAGCGCTTGGTCCAGGCTGGCCGCATGAATATTCCTTTAGACCAAGGGCGTTTGACTCGGCAATACTGAACCACAGAGCAGGGAGGGGGCCTGAGGATCAGCACCGGGCAGAGGAGGCTGAGGGGGGGGTGCAGGTTTCCGTTGGGGAGCAGGAAGCGTGCTCTCCCCTGCGTTTGGCTGTTCAGGCTGAGGAGCCGGGAACACTGGGCGCCCTTTGTCTCAAGGGCTCAAATTCAAGTGCGAAAGAAAACATGAACCGTTAACCCACATTACTGTCTCAACTGCTATTAGCCAACACCATTAACCAACACCAGCCAGGAATGCGTCTCTGCAGTGCTGGCAGACACATAAATTCACCACGAAGGCTGCACACCCAGCATCCCCCCCCCGTAGATGTCAGAGCAAGGAGCAATCTTCCTTTGAGGTGGCAGCAATGGAACAGCATTTACTGCCTGGCACCAGTAAATGCAATGTCCAGCTTACTCGGCTGCACCTGACAAGCACTGGGGTTTACTGCTGGCGTAAAAACAGGCTGCCTGGGGCCGTATCTTCAGCGAGGAGTTTGGGTTTAGAGCACGGATGGAGCCGTTCTTCGTGTTCACAGGTGACACGATCCCTACTGGCGGAAGGGCTGGGAAACGTGGCCTGCAGCTGTCATCCCCCACCCCTTACTACTAACACAAAGGGGTTAAAAGGTCTATTAACCACTTAAAAACCAGCAGTTGCTTTTAGCAACTAACTTAGAGAGCATGTCAGGCTAATGGTAAAACAAATTCCCACGTGCTGCCTGGCTCTCGCATCTGCAGTAACATGACTCTTGAAAACGCCACCCTTGCAGTGCCTGCCCCTGCCCCGCTCCCGGAGGGGGAACTCGGGGCTCTGCTCCTGCACGCCCTGGTGTTGCGATGGCACTTTTTCTACTTGCTTCCAAGTGCAGCACTCCCCACCTGAAGAGCCATAGAAAACAGGAACCTCTTGTGCGTTGCACCAGGAGAGTAACTGCTTGCAACTGCTGCTTTTTAGCAGTGGGGGCAGCCCCGCAGGCAGGGGGTTGAGCTTCCTCTTCCACAACTGCCGCCTGGTCCAATTTCTCTTCCAGGGCCACCGCGTTTTAAAGCCTCCCTTCCCAGCAACTCTTCTGCAGCTCTGCCCTGGGGCTGGCCACGGGCATTTAGTTCTTCTGGCCTCACCAGTTAATTCAGAAGGCAAGTGTGTGGCGACAGGAGCCCCCAACTCAGAACACAAAACAAAGCAGAGTTACACCTACTACTTATTTTATTGTATTTTATTTGCATAAACAAACTTCAGGGCTTTGCTAAACAGGAACTGTTCAAGTCAAAACAAACCAAACTCTAGTTGGTGTGTGTGGAGAAACAGCACAGCAATCCTGGGGAAGGGAAGGCAGAGATGGAGAGGAGAGGGAGAGCGGTGTCTTTACAGCACGTGCACACTGAGCGTCGGTGCATGGACATGCCTCTCCTGCTACGAAGGCTCACTGACTCAGCCAGGGAACTATTTGCAAACTCCTTCAGAATATTTTTAAGTAGAAGATAAAAAGAAATACATCATAACAGCTGTCCTTAACCAGCACAGGAGGGATTTGCCTTTTGTTTTTATAAAAAGATTAATAAAAAATATTGAAAAATTCTCATCTCCTTTTATATTTTTAACCTAGTAGAATTCTGAAGTTTCTTAGAAAACTATGTTACCTTGGAAAGAGCACTCAAGTTCACAACCAGCCGCGAAGAGGATACACAAAATGCCTACAAGCAGTTTGGGACTCCAGCACACACCAGGCCTAACAGTGTACACAAAGAGTGGTGAAAAGTAGGGTGTAATTTTTTTTTTTTTTTAAACCATGCTAATTTTGTTAACTTTCACAAAGAGTGGTGAAAAGTAGGGTGTAATTTTTTTTTTTTTTTTTAAACCATGCTAATTTTGTTAACTTTCAACATAAAAGGAAAACAATCATTTTTAAAAGGCCCTAAACTCAACTGTTACATAAAAAAATGTTTAAAAAAAATCATAGCAGTTTGGTCCCAACGAGTTAACATTTAGATGTTTATTCACATGCTTCATTGTTTTCTTATTTATAAGAACCAAAAATAGTTTCCAAAATTATCATTTAATTGATGTTACTATATACGTAAAGGCCTAAATAAGTAGAGTATGAATTTAAAAAAACTGAATACACAATAGGGGAGAAAAATTTGAACTGGCGAGTTAATCCCGACCTTTACTATTTCAAATTATAAAAGAGAAACAAAAATGTCAAGACTACTGGGTTAAGATGGGCACAAACCGAAATCCACATTGTCTTCAAAGCCTGTTACCAAAAAAATAACCGACCATTCAATAAGGTCACAGACGAGAGAAAAATCTAGGATCTCACCCAGTACTTGACCTTATTCAGTCCAGAAGGTAAGTCTTTGGGAAGATATACTCCACGAGTGGATCCAAGCATAAATGATTTATCAGTTCTAGTCCACACTTAGGGAGGCTAACTCTGGAAATGCAGTTAACTTCGGGATTGTTTCAGAGCTCCTCTCCGGGGCTCTGCTCAGCACTTCAGGATCGCCCTGACAATCTCCAGCACTAGCACTGTGCCGAACCCCTTCCCTCCCGCCAGGGCTCTCGGAAACACGCAGACACTGCGGCTATTCAGCCGTCGTCTGTAAGGTGTCCTTCTCCTCTCTGTTTTCTGTTCCGCTTTCGTCATCTTCAATTTCTCCTTCTTCTCCGCTGAATTTGTCATGAGCCCACTTGGGGCTGGTGCTTGACTTTCGGAACATGAAGCGACCTCTTCCTCGGGGGAAAGCACCCCGACCACGGCCTCTGTTCACCCACTTGTCCGCACCTTCGCCCTCCCGGTCATCGTGCTGCACAGGAGGAAGCCAATGACATCAGTTGAAGCAGACTGACTACTCAGTGTAAGAGCAGAAAAACTCTGGCTTGCGATACGCAACCCTGCAGCACGAACCGGATTGCCGTGTTTATGCCACAGCGACTACTGCCATCTAAAGAGAAATGCTGGCTTGTTTTGGGGAAGAAAAACAGCAGATGCAGGCAAGAATGCACAATCGCTACACAGGCTCTTTGTGCTTGGCAACCTGTCCTTGCTGACAGGAAGGTCTCTATAGACTATCTAGGGGTGGGCAGGGGACGGGTGTCTAGGCCTGGAGTACCATTGCTGGCTCTGCAACTCCATGATTTAGGTGTTCTACACATTTCCCCTTTACTTTCTTGCCAATCAAACTGCTTCGGCAGCTTCGGTCCTTATTGCTGGGTACTCAGGGAGTTTAATAACACGTGCCGCTTTCAGGAATGTTTTGTGTGAGCTAAGGCAGATGCAATTGGTACAAGCTGACACGGACCACGTCTCTGGGCTCAAAATGATCCATTTCTGTACTTTAAGTGCAGTGTAGAGACCAGATACCCCCAAAAATTACAATTCTGCCTTCAACAAGACCAGAGAAAAATGCAGTAATAAAATCAAGGCTTTCTTGTTTGAGGTACAAGACTGAAATACTGCATTATTTAATGAGAAGATTAGAGATCTCAAGTACCCCAAATCAGGAAGAGAAAAAACGAGTGTCTGTTTATAACTGCCCCTTTTTGAAAGAACACAGTCAGACAGGATTCTCCCAGATCAATGCCTGTTAGTATGGCAGACTGCTATCACCAGAAATAAAAAGGAACAGTACTAACCCATCCAGGAAGCTGGACGCTTTATGGGGATAGAAGAACCAAGAAATGCAGGCCATCTGCACCACAGACTAGCAGATTTAAGCTGCATTTCCCACAATACTGTGAAACATGTGCTCTTTAACTGGCCTTTAGGATTTCACTTAACGGCAAACCACTCTACAATGAACAGGAACAAGTTCTCTTTAGCTGTGAGCCAGAAGCTTCTCGTGAAGAAGTGTCACATGAAGCCCTGAGCTGGTGGATTAGATAGTTTAATGACAGCTGGCGCTTTCACCCCTAAAGCATTTAAGGCCAGATATACCTGGAGTGTATATACATGTTTCAGTACTTCAGACACATACCAAGTAGTACTTCTTGCTCTTAGGTGTGTACTCTGGATCCCACTCCTCATCTCTGCTTCGCTTCTGGAAGTCGTTGTTGCCACCGCTGTTGCTGTTATTGTTGCCTGAAAAGTTGCCTCTGCCCCATCCTCTCCCTCTTGCTCTGAACTGCTGCAACAGCAAAACATGGAAGAAAAGTAAAATGGTTGCGGTGGCAGTGCCCTCCCACCCCCAGACAGCTTCCAGGGCTACCAAGAGATACAACATCACTTCTCTAACCATCCAAGAACACCTTTAACCTACCATGAAAATAAGAGTACATTTTAGGGTTTTCTAGCTCATCTGATCACACAGTGCATCACAGTTTCTATAAAGCTGTTTAAGATCATGTAGAGGCATTTCCAGAGCATCCAAGAGAAAGCATCTGATAGATACAATATGCACTGCACGTAAGACGTCTACGTAGCTAAGGCATAAGAATTGCAAACAATAAGCGTGGTTATGACCAGATGAGTCACTTTGGTAGCCTAACCCAAACTGACTGATGCACATCATGCTGCCCATCGGGGTTGCTCAGCAATTACTAATGCACAAAAGCTTCCAGGCTTGATTCTGCTCCATACATCTTGAGCTCAACTGCCCAGACTACATCCTTAGCACCCTGCTTTGTGCTCCAGACCTGGAGCGATCATATTCTGGCTCATCATCCACAACCAGACAATGTCTTTGTGGTTCCTCCTTTATGGTTTGCTTTAACTGTGAAAGAGCAATACACAACGGCCGCTTTTTGACTGCTTTGAGAATTGATACTTGGGGCAGGGGGTTGGAGAACACTTACAAAGGTCCCTCTAGCTCTTCCTCTCTCATTTGGACCAGTGAATTCTTTAGTCCCAAGTCGGGACTTGTCAAAGCCTGTGGTGCTTTCCTCCCTCTCCTCAGTCTCCTCAGGATACTCCTCTGCTTTGACTGAATGAGAGGACCGCGAAGATGACGAACTGGACCTGGATCTCTCGCGTACCCTTCGGTGTTTCCTGTTTCAGTGATAGGAAACGGAGGTGAGGGGGACACCAACAAGGTTAATAACTCAGTCGTGACTCGTTTGCTACAGAACCATTTCTTTATCACTCCCCTATCAATGCAACGCTCTCCTTTTCCTACTACGAAAAGGAAAAGCCATAGTAAGAGCTCAGGATCAGCTACAACATGCAGCTCTAACACAGGTCCCAAGTCTTCTCCAGAAAGAACTTGTTGCTTCTTTCTAAGGTGTTTGTACCATCTACTATGAAATAAGCATGCATCTACAGAGTTCTAGTAAAACAGGAAATTAATCTAATAGAAAAGGATTAAATTAACATTAAAGCGAAGTCATTTAAACATGGCTGTTCTCTACAACACAACGGGAACAGGAAGGAAAAGTGACTCACCCATTCTGACACACGGAGCCTTCTCATTTACCCTTAACAATTACTTAGTGTTTCAGATAGATATAACGATATCAAGAAGACATGCAGAGGAATAATTCACGCCACTGGAGGAGTTTGTGTCAAAAGGTGTACAACTGTATGTACACGATGTCATCTCCAACCTTAATAGCAGAAGTATGAAAGGCAGAAGGAAATGTCTATTAGGTTTTCTACATACTTTTTCTTTGAGCCTTTGTGACTTTTCTCCGTTTTCTCAGTTGATCTTTCCCTTGAGTGACTTGAATCTCTTGAGTCCACCGATTCTCTGGATTTATCGCGTTTAAGATCTCTTTCCTTATGTTTTTTACGGCGTTCAATATCAAGGCGCAGGTCAACAGGGTCGTCCTTATATTTCCCTTCAGCCTACAAACGCAGGGAAGAGGGTAGAGTTTAATACAAAGGTTTACAGTGCACTAGTTCAGCACCATTACTTTGCTATTGACTGCACAGACTTCTGGAGAACAGGAGTTTATCTGAATACTAATCAATAATCCATTTTAAGATGTAAAATAATGCACTGTTAAAATAAGTTTTTATTTGTCAGACTTCAATTTTCCTACTGCTTTTTAAGATCACTGCTTTTTAACTTTTATTCTCCTCTTTTAAACAGCATTAGAATAGCCTGGTAATAGGGGAGGGAGAAACACAGAAGCTGACGCTTATTGTACACCACAGCCAGTGAGAGATGAGAACAACTTGGAAATCCAGTCCAACTGATTATGTATCAGAACTACAGCATGTCAAAAATGTCTAACAGCCCGTGGACGTTTGTCACTGAACAGCAGCATGCTTGCTATCCTGCTGACAGACATCATCTAGCAGCCTGGAAGGAATTTTAATCACCAGGTCTGGAAACAGTACTTTGGCAGAAGCAAAAGCTGTTCGCTGCTTGGAGATACCCAAGATAGCGATTACTGATCAAAGTGGTAAGAGATGGAGGCCACTGAAATGCAGCAATGAAGTGCATCTGGGAGAATGCCAACATCCCACTGATATGTATCCACTAATATGTCTGTCAAGAAGATTTACTCTGTGGCAGACGTCACCTATAGCACTCCTTCCCCCTCGACTGGAAGGCACCATGTGAAAGATGCCAAGAAGTCACCACAGACCTCTTGTATGCGTTTCTTCACATAATCCTAGCAAGTCTACTAATGCAAGCTACCCCTGGTGTTTCACAAAGCAAAAACCAACCAGCTGTATGAAAAACACTCAACAACTAGCTTTTTTTTTTTTTTTTTTACATTGTTAATTTAACAAAGTCTGGTAATGCTTGCTTTGAGTTCTGTTTAAATTTCTGCTTATATAATGGATTAAGATAGTTTCTTTGGAAAATGAGAAGTTGTGTTACCTGCGTATACTTTAAGACCAGTGGTACCTGGATGAGATTCTGCTGACTGCACATACAGGAGCAGCAAATTGACAGTGGCTGTGGTTCTGACAAACATTTAACTGAGTAGCAGTACGTCTGCGGGAAGCCTGTACACGATGTTGCTAGCAACAACATACAGCCTCCATGGCTGTGCTCAGCGATTGCTACTTTATTTACACAATACTGATCTTGGGAACTGTATGACTTGATATGCAACATACATCATATTAATCGTCTTGAATTAAATACAAAAGGATTAGTAATTCTCTAGCTATTAAATTTTTTACTTACATGAGTTTCTAAACACTTTTTTGTTTAAATAAATATGTCAAATAACGCAGGAGTGAGAGCAGGCGTTTTGTTTTGGTATTTTGCTCTTCTACTTTCCCCAGGCAAAGAGCTTTAATTTCTACTCTGAGAATAAAACTGCTCCCAACACGATGGATGACAGATAAGTGACAAAATCAGCAGCAGCTCCCTTATGTGGTACAGCAAACACCTATTTGGGTTTGTGAGGGCACGTCTGTTTCACGGAAGGCTGGCGAGCTGTTTGGAAACCACGTTTATAATACACTCTGCCAAGCTGATGCTCAGAGTTCAGGCCCATCAAATCCATCTCACCATCGTCCATGTCAAGCCACAAGTGTGTTTGGAAAAAATTGAAAACAAATATGAAACAAGTAAGGTTTCAGCAGGACTGTTTAAAATCTGTTCAACGTAAATATGTATGAAGGTGAACAAACAAAGGTTAAAATCCCAAACATTTTACGTTAAGCCATTTTTACGATTGTTTACAGTGAGTGCAATGGCTTAACATTCATCTACTCAGAAAAGCTAATACACTAAATTCGAAATGGTCTGGATCTACTAAAACAAGTGCTGAATGTTAAAGTAACAGCAATCAACAGAAATGGTACAGTAAGTTGTTAGAACAAAATTTATAGTCTGCTTAATAGTGTATTTGGTTTAGATAAGTATTTAGTTTTACTTTCCTCTTTTTGACATGCATGTCTTTTTGAAAACATGGTTGGAAATATTGCATGTATACAATTGATTTAATAATACTTACAAGCAGAAAAATATCACAAAAAGTCTCTTCTCTCATCATGGGCACTTGTTCCAAAAATCCTCTCTTTTTTCTCAAGCTCACCTCAATTGACTTTGGGGTCATTTACCATAGTCTAACCACTTCACAAAGGTTGTTGATACATTTTTAATAAAAATTAACCCTTTGTAGTTCATTTTTAGAATTATGCCCATCCTTAAAAGAAAAACACAAACTTAAGTAGAGAGTAATTTAAACAAAAACATCACTGTTAAGTTCATGCCCAATGCACTCATTTTGTTGAATTAAACTAATCAGAATAACAGTTCACCTTGAAGCCAGGATCTCTGGAACTTTTCGTTTCCTCTTGAGAGAATCCATGTTTTCTAAAAGTACTGGGAGATATATCTATCCTCCTAAAAGTAAAGAAAGTACACACATATAATCTTGCTCGTAAGAAGAATCTGAAGTTTTTAGATCAAATGTCATTTAAAGCAGGCAAATATTTCCAAAGGTACTTAAAACTCCCCATATTTTTCCTTTTTTTTTGCTGAAGCTAGTTATATACTTGAATTATTCCAGAATTATTCCAGAGTTTAAGAGAAGGAAATCTGAAATACCCCTGAAATGTTAGACAGTGTCTAATGGCACCAACCTGTGGATTTCAGGGCTCTTCTTGTTTTTAGCTGCATCTTGTTCCATTCCTTTCTTTAGATATTTGGTAAAGCGTTCATTCAGTGTCATTACTGAAGACCCAAAGTGATGCTCTGTTGGGGGTTTGAGTAAACAATGCCAAAATATTAATACAGTTTTTGTAAAAAAGACAAAGCACATCAGTCCTACAGCTTAGTCAAATTCAGATGCAGGACTCGTGAAGCACACTGGTGATGAGCTCGCTCTAATGCTGCTGACAAATTTCAGTTTCAATCTTGAAATTAACAATTTATTCAAGTGAGTCACAAATTCACTAGAATACACAAATTCTAAGCCATAGTCTATCTGAATATTGCTCAGGTAAAAACAAGAATGCCTCTTCTACCTTTCCAGAAGAAAGGTCATTCATGTAAATAAAGACGACTCACGATCGGGCTGCTATTCTCATCTATGGCTGCTGTATCTCATCTATTCTCATCTATATAATTCTATTTACTGCTGGAAAACAACTCTTTCTGCAGTAACTAGAGTGCATGAAACCCACTTATCTGGGCAAGGGAGGAGTGAACCTTCATCTGAGGATACTTGGACTTCTGACCTACCTCTTACATGATGGACTATAGTCACTATGTGTTGAGCAAACAGTTCAGAAGGACTTCGCTGAGACTGAGCAGACTGAATATGATGGAAAATCGAACGAAATTCTTGCTCTTTTTTGTTGCTGTGCACAAGGTCACGACACAGCTTACGTTCCTGAGCCAATATGCCACTTGGACTAGAAAAAGAACAGACCACATGAAATTGAAGAACAGGGTAAAGGGAAGCAGTTTAAGATGATTAATGTTTCAGAAGTTGGAAGCTGACCACATTTTTTATGTAGTATTATGAAGGCACCTAAGAACATTCAATAGCATGAGCAGGATGCTTATTTAAACATCTCTAAAATACACTGATCTAGGTTACTGTAATAATTCAGGTCACTTGTTATTCTGTATTTGGAGGGCTGTGCAGGTATTAAACACTGACATCCCGTGAAACACAAGCCCATTCTCACACCATTAGCTGGCTGTGATCTTTTGCTACTGTTCCTAAATTCTAGATTAACCTCTAACATCCCACGGAGCTTATTAACACTTACTGGCTACTGCTGTACAAATGTATTTTGTATTTTCTGGAATAACTTTTTACTGCCTTAAGATTTCTTGAAGCAATGCTGAAGTGGCTCTCAAAGCTTCCTAGAGTTTCAGTAATGCTATGTTGAGAATAAGAGTAGTTAAACACACTCCAGAGAATCAAATGTCATTTAAGCAGCACTGTAACTTTACCGTACCACTGAGCTTCTAGCAGCAAGAAGCTGTTGAGTACCTAACTCTTTCCAGAGCCTGGTGTAGCATGGAACCTGATGCAGAAGCATTTACATTCTGAACTAATCTTACATCTAGTTGTAGAAAAGATTAGGAAAAGTTGTTTAACCTTCATGCTATACTTTCACCATCTGCAAACTGGTAACGCCTCTAACCTCCCACCACAAAAAAAAGGGTCACACAAGTATTATAATGCCAGAAAAAAAATTACACTCTCTCTCCAAAAAAAATGCAAATTGTGATGCAATATTATTTAGCCTTCCTCACACTTGGCAAGCATATGAGGATCTCAGGAAGAGAAACAGGAAAAAAAAAAAGGCCAATTAACCTCCCAAAAAATAGCAAATACTTACCGTGCAAGATCTTCATCAAAGGAATCCATTCGAATATTGACCTGGGCCTCACGAGTAATGGAAAAGGAGGATTTGCCAGGAGCTAGCCCCTCTACTTTGGTGCCTGGTTTCTCCTTTACCTCAGAAGCCTTCCTTGGTGGGGGGGAAGAACTTTTTTCCTGGCTTGATTTGTAAGTGGTCACTCTAAAATTCTTTTCAGGAACAAACCCCCTGTGACCTGGTTCAGCTCTCTTGGATGCTGGTCTCTCTTCTTTTTTTGATCTTTCAGAATAGCTTTCCTCCTCCATTTCATCGGGTTTCCTTTGCTTCTCTTTTCCAGGTGGCAAGAACACCACGCCCTCCCATTTTCCTGGCCTATCCTCTTCTTGACTTTTACTTGAAGTTGCTACGACTTTAGACATAAATTTGGGCTCATCATCAAATTCCGAATCTTTTCGGCCCTTTGCCTTGTCTTTCTTTTCCTGCTCATCTGTTTCCTCTTTGCCATAATGACTTTCCTTGTGGAACTCCGGGACCTTTAGCTTGTCAAAGTCATCCCGGAACTTGTAGCGCTTGGGTGACTGGCTGCTGCGGTATCCCTTCTCGGAGTCTGCTTTGGATGCATAGGGGTCAGATTTTGCCTTTCCATCTGTTGATCCCAACTCAGAGAAATTCCCTTTTTCTTTAGATTTTTCTTTTTCAACATTTGTTACTTTCTGTTCTTTGTCTTTCCCATTCTCAGTCTTCTGCTCTTCCAGATACCTGTTCATAAAACAGACATTACAGCAGTTCTCTTACTGAAAATCAAAGAGGTTAATACTTCAGTTGAAAGCAGTCAAATTTTAGAGAACACCAAGCTATGCACGTACAGAAAGCTGTCTCTAGGCCCTAAAATAGTTCAAATGTAAAGCAGATTACTCAGCCTGGATTTAGACTTTTAGTTCTCAATAAATTCAGCAAATATAGAAGAAAATGGATATGCAAAACTGATGAAATGAGGCTTAAGAACAAATAAAAAACAGCTTACCCACAGATTCATTTTAAGGAAAATAGTAACATCTTACCCAATCGGTTTATTTACTTACAAACCTGGTTCAGGAGAACAACACATCAAAACTTTCAAACTGGGCTGTTCTGCTTTAAACAACACACTGGAAATAAAAGCCTCAAAAGCTACTTCAAATTTTGGATGCAAGTTTCATAGGTAAGCTAAATATTTCATGACAGACTGTAAATACAAATAAAAGCAAAGAGGTTAACAGAGGAGAATATTTATTTTGCTGGCAGAAGACAAAACACTTCTAGTGAGAACAACAATTTAGCTAGTTTAAAGCATCAGAACTATGTTTTAAAGCATTCATTAAGCAAAACCCTAGCTTTGAGGAAACAGTGGTAAAGCCCAAAGTTCAGTGCTTTGGAAAGCCCAAACAAGAGTTACAGCTGTTTTTTTTATTTTTCTTTTTAAGTTTCAGACATCCTTAATATAGAATCAGTTCAAAATAACTTTAAAAATAATAAAGAAAATATTTAAAAGCACTTGTGAATGCTACCGTATCTTTTAAAACAAAGTGTCACCTTCAGATACGAATCTGCAGTGGACTAACCAAGCAAACAGAAACATGGTAGGTTGATGCCTTCTGCATGGAAGGATGTCTTAATTTTAGTGATGACCTTGGTGCTTTAGTTTCTCATACTACCCACATACACAGGCACAAGCACTGCAACTACACCTGCCTTAGGCTGCTTGCAGCAGGACATGCAGTAAGATTTAATTGAATTTTGCTAATTTATAATACCTAATGCGATTCAAGAATGCAATACTAAAAAAATGTCTTTAACTGAAAAGTAAATAGCTTAAGAAACGCAAGCTTCCAGTGTGCACTGTTGGGTTGCTAGAAAAATCTCATCGGGCACATCTTCACTTCAAGTGTTCAGGAGCTATGAACGTTTTTGCAGGGAACCTACGCAACCTTTAGAACTATCCAAGTCAGAAAACTAACTCCAACTTCCTACAACACAGGGCTAGGTCTGTATTTTGTTCTGTAATCTAGACAGTACCAGGCCCAAACAGCTGGCAGCTTGCTAGCATGGCACCCTGCACACACTGGGGCCTCATTCCAGCTGGAGCCTGCACGCACACCGAGAACCCTTACAGTGCTCATGGAGGGCGCCTACACATGCAAGCTGGCTTGTCAAAAAACACTGCAGCACAACAAAACGCATCACTTGCCTTTTTGAGAAGGCTCCTCCTCCAGGAGCTGTGGTTTCCTCCTTCTGAGATGTACTGTAAATCGAACTGATTGGTGTTGGACTTTTGCACACAGGGCTCTTCCTTGTTGGGCTCAAACCTGCCGAGCCATGGTCAAACGGACTCTGATGAGAGCCTGCCTGAAAGGAGGTGCTGCTGCTTTGTAAAGCAGAGCTCATCTGTGATGGGTTGGACAGCGGAGGGCTCGACTTTTGCAATGGACTTGGCCGAGGAGAACGACGCCTCACCACAACCGACTGGAGTGGGCTTTTTAATGCAGGACTGCGTTCCCTTGGGCTAAGTTCAGACACAGAAGCTCTTGACGCTGAACTTGTACCATAGGAGGTCATATCTTGCCATGGTTTTGATCCCTCAGATGCCTTGACATCTTGAGCCACTGCTCCTGAAAATGGCTGCTCCTTAGACTCATCACCTTGATTATCTCCTGCAGCCTGAGATGCCCGGGCATCCTTGGAAGATGACTTTTTCTCCTTTCCAGATTTACGCTTGGAAGATTCAACTCGGCTATGATTTGAGGAAGACCGGGAAGAGGAAGACCTCCTTGACCGATCAGAAGATGACTTATCAGAATTTCTAGAATGACTTCTAGACCTTGGTGAAGGAGACCTTCTCTTGGGTGAGCGAGAGCGTGACCTCCCTCTACGAGGGCTATACGCTTGGCGATAATTTTGCCAGTTTGACCTGTAATTCCCATATCCTCCTCGGTTATACTGGCCCCATGGATAAAACCCTCGATTTCGGCCACGAAAATAATACGGTCTCCTGTATCCTCTATTATGACCTCTGAAATCCCGGTTCTGATAGACTCTCGGATGGTTCCTTTCTCTGTTATGAGATGGAGAATATGATCTTGAACGGGACCTAGAACTGATAAAAGAAAAAAATTACACAAACATTTTAAAGTTCATTCTTCTGTCACAACTTTTTATTCAAAGCCTTATAAAAAAAGAATTTGAAAAATTAATTTCTAAGCTTTTAAAAGTAATTTCTTTGGTCTACCCTCATCCAATTGAGGTATTACACTTTGCCCTCAATAAATTGCCATGGAAATAACTTGTATCTGTGATACTGCCAAACAAATATTTGACTTCAGGATCACTGCAGAGACCATGATGGGAACACGTTGCTCTTCATTTTTCTAGGATGAACCATGGCTGCTATCCAGCTTTAGAAAAAGTGACATATCTCAAACTTCCAGCCCATTATAACTCAAGGTCAAGGTTATACCTCATCTTAGATCTCCTCCATAAAGAAGTATTTCTTTATGCATCTCATGCTACCATTATTGGAACAGATCCAAAATCTTCCTGTTGTGTCCCTCAGTTCTCTCATGTGCTTTTGCAATTCTGATAATCAAGACGAAAGCCCACTTCTTTGCCAGGCAGGTTAAATAAATTGCTACACCTCAACATGAGAAGAGCAGTACTGGAGCCAGCAGCACACTGCTCTATAGTTTTAAGTTTCAAAAGGTGCACCCCTTGCCACAATTCAGAAGCTGGAGCTCCAAACAAGTGGGGCAGCAGAGGGATGCACTTGCTCTCCAGCCTGACGCCACGAGATGGCACTGTTCAGTGTCCCTCTGTTCGCCTCCATGCCATGCACCAACATTCATAAAGGACAGAACTGAATCCAAGACAAGTACAAAGCCTGTAAGAATACAGATTTAAGTGGCAAAACATTAAGGGCTAATTGTTCCAATAGTCTCTTGCACTAAATTTTTGGAGCTGCAGCTGTGTAACTGTTTGAAAGCCACACCGTAGCCCAGGATAAAATGCCAGCTTTACAGTAAATATTTCACAGCTGTTGGAAAAACACAAACTTCTGCTGAAAGTCTGAGATTTTAGCAACTTTGCATTAGTAAAACAGAGAAAGCATCCAAACTAGTAAGTTTAAATAGAAAAGAGGTTTTTCCAAATGGAATTTTAGTAAATAATATTCACTGAAACCATTCCCACAGTTCCTTCTTTAGAGCCAGTCAGCTCTAAAACTCTCACTGGTCATACTCCAATAGACGTGTGTTGCCAGTCTGTAAAAGAAGTACAGCTCACTGCTGCCCCCTCTCCACTCACACCCCAAACCCCCAGAACGTAAGGGAATGCAATGCTGCCGTTAGAATTCCTACAAGATTAGTGTACACCCATTCAGAGAAAAACTTTTGTTCTGTTTTTATTTTTTCCACCTATCAAATACATTACAGTTTAGCAGGAAACAGTTTACTCATACCATAGTCATTGCTAGCAAACAGTTTAATGATAACTTTAACATATGCTTCATCCTTTACTTCAAACAAACAAAAAACCTATGCAACTTATCTGAGACACTTCCTCATTCAAACGACGACGAGAAGGAAAAGCACAGAGGCAGACGGCAAGAACCTACTACAACGAGCCCTAGTCAAAAGCACTAAGAACACATATGCTCCCATTTTCAGACAACTGCTGCATTTGTGATCAATTACCAGCAAGGGACCTGTCGTACACCGCTTCCAAAATCTGTTCTATCATTTGAGAGAGGCTTGCAGCAGGAAAATTTCACGCCAAAAGTGGTAGAGATTTTTTAACAATAAATCTTTTTAGAAAAATACAGTAAACATTATGCAAAAGAAACACCGCAAGTAATAATTCTCCCAACTCTGCCAGCCCCTGTAGCTAGCCAGCTAACACACACTGCTCCAGTTCTAAAGCACCTACCATTTTACAATAGGTAAAAATGAAAAATAAAGTCATAAAGAAAGCAAGAAATATTAGGCAGACTCCAACATGGCAATACAACTTTGAACAGTACACCTACCAAATGAAGAGTAGAACAATTTTTGTGGTGTACGCTGAAGCCCACAATAATGGACTTTTATGCCAAGATACCACGATACCTACCTCAGAGAATATCCTAATGCCATACAAGATGACTTGCCTGTACTAACCCCCTCCATTTTGATTCTTTTTTTAAAAAAGGAGTTATTTACAAAGCACAAGTAGATTCGGCAGCAGCACAGAGGAAACAATCATGTTTGCACAGGGTGCCTTTGTTTTCAACTGTCAAAGTTCCTTCATAGCTAGGCAGATATTCCCAAATGACCACGTATCTTCCAGCATTCCCACTTCCTTCTGCAAAGAACTCTGACTCAAGTCTCCGCCTCTAATTTAGTTTTGTCCTGTCCTTCTCTCTCCAACTGTACATTTATTAGAGCCTCTGCATTTTAAAAATCTCTTTAATTGTTAACAGTTGCATGTGTTTACAGCCTAATAATTTTCAGAATATGTGTTATTAATTTAACATTCGTGAAAAAGCAGCTGAACATCATTATACCCAGTCCAACTGGAATGTCTTTGCCAGATACAAAATGCTTAGCCAAAAGAAAAGGAGAAAACAGATATCCTGATATCCAGGGAAGAGATGAGCCTTTAACCGGCCTGACCAGAAGCAATTCAGGGAGATAAGAACAACTATTACGCACTTTAATGATTTCTCAAAGTTAACTGCAGTGAAATTAACTATCTACTTTATCCATCCAGAATTCTCATTTCTGTTAACTGACTTCTGTATATTGGGAGAGGCAGGGAAACAACAACAAAAATTGCCCCCACCTTTCACAGCAGTATCTTAAACTGACATTAAAATTCATTTGAATTCATTTTTAGAAAGAGAAGGAAAGCATGTAACATCCGCAAAGGCTCTTCAAGTCTGGGATCAGTTAAATTAAAAGCTTAAAAAAACCCCAAAGATGTTTAACAAAACAAAGGAGCATGTTTTGCTATGGACCGTCCCAACTCTTCTTCCCCACTCTGACTATGGAACACCACTTAAACTCTCTCACAGCAGTAAAGCAAATGTCTGATCAAAAGCATTTCCAATCTCAAAATCTCAGGTCAGGATAAAAAGCTATGATTTTTTGCACTCTGTCCTGCTTTGGCAATTTCAAACACCATCATTAACCATGAGTACTTTTAGTATAGGAAACTGGATCTCGGAGATTGTGCATACTTTGCATTGGGAAAAGCACAATAGGCTATCCCATTATATACAGCAGCAATTAAGAACTGCAGAAGAACATGGGAAAAAACCCACATGCATTTTGACACGGGCTTCTATTAATACCTTCGAGGAAAAACAAAGTACAGAGGTCTTCTCTAAGGCCCCAGTCTAAAAAGGCTGTAACAACTCCACTGTGGACTGTACCCTTGACAAAATGAGCTATACTAGCAAAAACACCTTCTGATTTAACGGTACATTAGAGTATCTGTTAGTATGCATGTTAGGGGAAAAAGACCTGCACAGAAAAGGAAAATTATTGTTCACCAAAAACATGCTACAGAGACCAGATTAAGGGCTCAAAAGAAGTATCTTGACAATGCTGAAACAGTCACAATTCAAAACAGTACAGGTTGGCAGTAAACAACCTAAGACACAGGACACTACCTGTCCTAGAACCTAATCAAAATCTTTCCCTGGAAAAGAATTAAGTGACAAACCATCTGAACAGTACAGAGAAGAAAAACATAGTTACACCCTTTGGCTTCAGACCTGCATGCCCTTACCTAAGTCTGCGTTTTCTTGACCGTGAGACAGAACGAGAACGGGAACGAGATTTGGAGAAGGACCGTGAGCGTGATCTTGATCCAGACCTCGAACGGGAAGAACGGGATCCAGATTTTGATTTGTTAGTTTTAGACATCTTTGCAAGCACCTGTCAGTTGTACCTGAAGGAAACAGGGAAAGAAAAGTATTTGAAAAACGAAGTCATGCGGCAGATTTGAGAGAACAGGCAACATCTGGCAACCTGACAAACTACAGAGTGACACGAAGCTTGATAAGACTGGAAACATGAATGTTGGAAGCGGCTGCCTAATAACAGATGAATAGTGTTGAGCTCAGAATAGAAGGTTTATTTCAGTCTAAGGAGGAAATCTGCAAAAAGAATAAAAGGCTTTCAACCCAGAGTAATTACAAATTTGAGTGCTACAGTTGAAAGCAAGAAGTTAATGCAAAATGCAGGAACAGGCAGAGGCCATGCTGCTAGCTTAAGCAAGAATACCTTTAAAGAGAGAAACTATTTCGTTTCAGTCACATCACTATCAATACAGCCAGCTGTCACTGGTTTAAAGAACAAGAAATAAAAAGGCTTACCGTCAGAAAAACAAAAAACCCAACCCCCAAAGTCTTCTTTAAATTTTCAGAAGGAATCGCAAACAAAAATGATAATCCAAGATACATGAATATAACCCTATTTGCACAGATCTCCCTCGCTATGAACGCCCAGGTTAAATCCTGGACATACGTGTCCTGTCTGCTTGTGCAGTTTATGTAGTTGCTATGATCACTTACAAGCGTGTATCACCCAGCGCAGAGTTCTGTTGCAGCCAAATTAATTCAGACATCCTTCCAAATATTCACAGAAGAGATTACGCTGTAGCATTAAATGACTTGAAATAGCTATAATTATGAACAACCTGGGCTATTTTCAGGCATGTATCCAGGCAAAGGTTAAAGAGTCCCTTAAAAGATGTTTCAGGGAATACAGTTTGACCACATAATTGTTTTCAGTTACACCCTACCTGATCTGTTCTCTTGTAAACATCAACTTTGTATCAACAAGCAAGATTTTTCTAAAGGATTTTCATCATCTCTTACCTCCAGAGAAAGAAAAATATTCAGGACTATTAACTTAAGAGGGGTAACAGTCATATTGTTTACATTTGGAGGTTGGTGCAAATTTTTATAAAATTCAAGATGCTGTATTTCTTTCAGCTGGTTAGATTTTCCCGTCAGTATCCAAAAAAGTCAAATGCGTAACAGTTTTGCAGCTTCCAACAGGGACCTTCACAAACTTTCCCCTCCGTGCTACCAACAACTCCCTTTTGTGACCTCTCTTCCACAAAGGGCTGTGGAAGCAAACCCAGCATACCAGAGATGGGTCGGGAGAGCTCTAGTGCCTTTTCATAGAATCATAGAATAGTTTCGGCTGGAGGGGACCTCTAAAGGTCATCTAGTCCAACCCCCTACCGTGGGCAGGGACATCTTCAACTAGATCAGGTTGCTCAGAGCCCCGTCCAACCTGACCTGGAATGGTTCCAGGGATGGGGCATCCACCCCCTCTCTGGGCAACCTGGGCCAGTGTCTCACCACCCGCAGCATAAAAAATTTCTTCCTTATGTCTAGTCTAAATCCACCCCCCTTTAGTTTAAAGCCATTCCCCCTTGTCCTGTCGCAACAGGCCCTGCTAAAAAGTTTGCCACCATCTTTTTTATAAGCCCCCTTTAAGTACTGA